AACAAGATTTTTGGGACAGGAAAATCATGCACCGACTCTATATTTATAATTAAGCAAGTACAAAAGAAATCATTAGGATACAAAAAACCGGCATATGTTTCGTGGACCTTAAGAAGGCATTTGACCAGGTCAAATTAAAGGACGTTATCCACTTGTTTCCGCAAGAGAGATACCTTTAAGAATAATCAAAACGATCGAAAGTATCTACCAAAATAACACAACAAAAGTAAAAGTTTATGAAGAACTAAATGGCCCCATTGAAGCTGGCAATGGGATTTCTTCTTGATGTGCCTATCCATTACAAATGTTAGCGATCATCATGGCAATATTTATTTTATCTGCAGCAGCGCGGAAAAGCTGCACAGATATTGTATTGAGCCAGGTTCTGAGGTTCTTTTACCAAGATGTTCTATTTCTTCCTGGGCCTCGTTTTCCAAATATTTTTCCTTGCAGATGACTTGAAGGAGAGCATATCTGGATTCATTTCGCATAATATGTCCAAAGAATTGTAACTTTCGAGTTTTGATGGTGGTCAGTACCTCTCGGTTCTTATTCATTCTTCTGAGGACCTCCTCATGTGTGACTCGGTCAGTCCACGAGATCTTAAGCATTATCCGATATAACCACATTTCAAATGCATCCAGTTTTCTGCACATATCTTCGTTCAAGGTTCACTATTTAGCACCATAAAAAAGGCCAGAATAGCATCGCAGCATTCTTAATTTTGTATCAAGAAAGAGGTTGTGACTCTTGAAGATGGTTCCCATCCGATTGAAGGTGGATCTAGCTTTTCCGATGGGTCCTCTAATCTCCTGGTTGTTGGTCCATTCTTCATTTATTATGGTCCCGAGGTAGTTGTAGTGCGTCACTCTTTGGCAATGGGATAAGACAGGGAAATTGCCTGAGTCTTCTATTGTTCAACCTGATTATGAATAAAATAGTAAAAAAAATTAACTAAAAAATGATACCAAATGGGAGAAAAACAACTTAAAATAATCTGCTCATAAAGTGAAGATGATTTACAGTGTAAATTGGAGCTGGAAGGTCAGATAGTAGAACAAGTGATGGAGTTTAAATATCTAGGCATCACATTATCTAGCTACGGAACGCTCGAAGTAGAAGTAGAAGATCAAGTGAATAGAGCAAACAGAGCCGCAGGTTGCCTGAATGAAACAATATGGAGAAATAAAAATATTGAAAAAGAAATGAAAGGCAGAATTTACAAAACAGTCATCAGGCCAATAATGACATACGTGGCAGAATCACGACCTAACACAGAGAGAGGACAAAAAGGATGTTAGAAATAGCAGAGAGAAAAAATAATAGTAAAACTATATGGGACAAAGCTAGAAGTACAGACGTACAATGTAGATGCAGTTTGGAGAACATCAAGGACTGAGAGGTAGCCTGAAGAGGTAGCTTACTTAGACGACAAATCTATAAGAATTTTATATTTTTAAATCATTTTTGACATTCTTATCTATGTGCTATTGAATATTATGTCTACGAAATCTTCAAGAAGTAGATTTTTTTTAAAAACTCATAAATATTTTTTGCCAATACCAATATTTTGTTTCTCCAAGTGAACGTGCACCACATTTTTGCGTTAATTTAATTCATAAGAATTTATGATAATAAAATCGAACCATTGACCATTGTTGTATAACGTGTCTGATCATTAAAAAAACATAAATATTACGAAAAAATCATGGATTCCTGACTTTAAAAATCCGGTATATATTTAATCGGAATGTTTAGGTAATGTAAGCGCTAGCGATACATTGTGTTGTATTGGCCTTGTTCTCTTCAAGGTTGTTTATACAGACTGCCACAATTTTTGAGCATTATAAATGTTATATAATTCAGATAAGCAACTTGTCCAAAAATTTACTTCTTTAGCAAATCTATCGCAACATCTTAAATTCTAGGAATATATCAGATGATAATTTAGAAGTTAATACTAAGTTCTAGCTTTTATGACAAAAAGGAATCAATATTTAAAGATATTTATGAATGAAACATAATATTTATGAAATGCAACGAATAATTAATAATGTCTAAAATATAGTAAATTTACTTTTAACGAACGAGCGATAAAAGTTGTTCTCGGCTTCTCACCTGTTGATAAGAAAGGTTCTCAGAATAATAATTGGATGAAATAACAGGAGATTGAAGAGGATGCGATTGGAGCAATGTTTAATTTGTTACTCTGTATAATAGTGAAAATAAAGTGTAAATACTTGGGCCATGAGAAACGAATTGGTAATGATAATCAAATTTGCGAGATATATCATCGTATAGGTTTGAGCTGGGCGGCTTTTGGACGAAGCTGAGAAGTCTAATACTCCTATTTGTGTTTTACATGAAATCACATACGGTGTCAAAACCGTATGACAAAACCTTGACAAAACGTTCAATAAAAAAACTGAGAGTGACGCAGAGAGGATTGGAAACAGCGATATTGGGAGTCATCAGGAATGGCAAAATACCAAAAGACATAAGGCAGAGGTTATTGGCATAGGCAATAACATAGTTATTCCATTTTACAAAGCAGGTTACATATGTTGTATGTTACATGTTATAGAGGATAAAAGAAGTAGAGGTAGATCACCAACCAGATGGAGAGACGATTTAAGGAGGATGACAAGCAACTAGGTACACAGAGGTCAAGACCGGAATATGGCCCACAGCTTCAGAAAAATGGACCAAGCGGTGAGATTTACAACTGCACGGATAATGGATGGAGTAATACGTCTATGTTTTTATTATGGCTGAAGCATTTCCAAAAAAAAGTCCTGTCTAGTCCAGATAATCCCGTGCTGTTCGTATTAGATAATCACTCGAGCCATATTTCACTGGATATTTATAATTACTGCAAAGAGAATGGGATTATAATGGTTAGTATTCCACCCCACACATCCCACAAATTACAACCTCTTGATGTGTCATTTTTTTCTGCATTAAAATATGCGTATGGTCGCCATTGCAATTCCTTTCTAAAATCTAAGATAAGCAACTCAGAGTTTGAAGATAAAATTACTCCATATGATGTCGCCGAGATTTTTAAGTTAGCATATAATCAGGTGGCAAATATTGATAAGGCCGTTTCTGGTTTCGGAACGTGCGGAATTTTTCCGTTAAACTCTGATAAGTTCACAGAAGATGACTTTTTCCTGCTGATAATTTAAACAATGATAGCTTGGATAGAGATGTTTCTCCTGAACCTGCACCTCAGGGAACACCTCCACTAATAACAACACCATCTATAAGAGAACCAGAATTACCACGTCCATCAACCAGCCGACAGTCTCCTGAAAGTCGTCACACAACCCCCACAAAACAAAATGAAATAACCAAACGTCCACATACTTCTCTTTCAGTTATTTCTCCAGTTCCTTTGCCCAATAAAAAAATTAAAAGAAAATATGGACGACAAAAGCAACATTCTGAAATTCTAACAAGCACCCCTTTAAAAGAATTCTTAGAAGAAAAAGAGAATAAAAAAAAGAAAAACTGGCGAAGTCGGAAGAAGGAAAGAAAAAAGTAACCAGACAAGTATTGGTTAATGATGCAGGATTAAAACTAAATAAAAATAAAGGGAAAGTCAAAGTACAAAAAATAATCAAACAAAAAATAAACAAAAAAATCTTGGAGGATAGCGATACTGAAGAAAGCGATTTTGATGAAGAAGGTCTTTGCAATGACGATAAGTTGGATCACATAATCAACGAGGGAGGTGAAACTGATATCTGCATATTATGTGGAGACTTCGGCAAAAAGACGAAAACATGGTTCAGATGCACAAGTTGTGGACAATGGGTGCATAAAGAATGCAGTGGATCCAAAAGTCCCGAAAACTACATTTGTGACTTTTGTTAATATGTTAAAAAAGCTTTGTTTACATTTTCTTACTTTCAGTATTAAAAAATAAATTTTCTTTTCATATCACTTGCGCTTTTAATATAGATACCTACATACGCCATCTTCACCATCACTGTGCGTCATCTTTCCCTCGGTGGAAGGTAAGATGGCGCAAAAGCGTTTTTTAAAAAAGCAGCATAAAAAATACTTCCTTTTATTGAATTTAAAAATAATCCTAGAAATTGGTTATAGAAATGTTCAAATTACAGGCTCATAGCGTTCAAAGTTAGCTTAAATATTTTTTACCCTTAAATAAAATGTATTTTGCTTAGGTGCGTCATCTTCGACATCCTTCCCCTACTCCTATTTGTGTTTTACATGAAATCACATACGGTGTCAAAACCGTATGACAAAACCTGGACAAAACGTTCAATAAAAAAACTGAGAGTGGCGCAGAGAGGATTGGAAACAGCGATATTGGGAGTCATCAGGAATGGCAAAATACCAAAAGACATAAGGCAGAGGAGGAACATAGTTATTCCATTTTACAAGGCAGGTTACATATGTTGTATGTTACATGTTATAGAGGATAAAAGAAGTAGAGGTAGATCACCAACCAGATGGAGAGACGATTTATGGAGGATGAGAAGCAACTAGGTACACAGAGCTCAAGACCGGAATATGTTAATGAAAAATCAGACATTTGAAAGCTAATCGATGAAGATAGGCAAGTCATGTGGTAAGATCAGATAGCAACAGAGTATTGGAAACAGTATTTTTTAAGAGACCACATGGTATAAGATCAGTAGACCGCTCCAGGTACAGATGAAAGGATGATATCGAAGCAGATTTGTCTAGAATTGCAATACAATAATGTGAAATGGGCAATAATGGGCTAAAACTTGTCATGAATTGTGAGGTCAGACAAGAAGAAGAAGTGCTAGAAGCAGTATAGGCTTGAGTTGCAGCGTAAGACAAAAATTTGTTTAAAGGTCTAAAGGCGTTGCAGATTTGTTTTATAAATATATCTTCCAAGAACACAAGATTTAATAAAAAATCTATTAACAAAAAATCCAATAATAACTTTAAATGTTAATACCTATCACTTCAACAATTTTGTTTTTAATGTAAGGTTTTTTTCATCGACTTACCTGGTTGGTAACTGGTTTGATTGAACAGTTAGCGAGAAGACGTTCAGTTTGGCGTTTGTTGAAGTTGGAAATACCGATTGACTTGACAAGACCCTTCTTGACTAGAGCCTCCATGGCTTTCCATGTGTCCAAGTAATCCACATCACTGTAGGCTGTGCTGCCATCGGCATTTACTGGGAAAAGATCTCCGTCTTCCTGTACAGAAATATTAAAAATATGAAAACAAATATCCGATTCCTTTAACATACTTATGTTATATTTTATGTAACGAATTATGTTATATTTTATGTTTGAAATGTTACCTTAAGAGCAAAAGGCCAGTGAATCAAGTACAAGTCCAAGTATTCAAGACCTAAGTTCTTCAATGTGGTCTTCACGGCTGGTTCTACTAAGTCGGGTCTGTGGAAAGTGTTCCAGAGTTTGCTGGTGATGTAGATATCGCCACGTTTGACTGTACCATCGGCAAGTTTGGCCTTCAAGGCAGCACCTACTTCTGGTTCATTTCCGTAGACGTGGGCGCAATCGATGTGACGATAGCCGATGTCGAGAGCATCCTTGACAGCTTGGGTAACCTCACCGGGCTTTGACTGTAAAATAATAATGGTTTGGTTAATAGAAAAAGTCGGCGGTCGCTTCAAGCGTTGTTTCTGAGAGAACCATTTATTATACATAAAAAGTGAAAATTAACATATTTGTTCAAAATAATATCAGCTACATTTCTTGTTTGAAATATTTTTTCTACACGTACTAAAATTGCTAAAGATCAAAGATGTATATATTAGTATCCCAGTATTTATTGATATTACTAAAGCTTATGGCACGGTATGTAGACACAAAATTCAAAAACAAGAGTTTAAAAAGTAACATATTATATTTCATAAAACATTTTATTAGCAAAATAATATATAGTGTTTCATCTCGATAACGAGATATCATCTAAAAGGTTGCAAAAGAATGGAATTCTACAAGGATCAATGATTAATACAACTTTTCTGCTAATCTCCCTTTAACTACCTAACTAGTAGAAAACATTAAAACATCCAATAGCTTACCTTGTGAAAACTGAATTAGATATTTTACACAAAAAAACACCGGCATGGTAATACTGTGGGTACCGTTGTATGCCAGTATTCCAGGAAACGAAGAAGCAGATTCCTGTGCTAGACATGCAGCAAAGAACGAAAATTCAACGATGTGAGTGAAGTGGTTGCTAGTTGCTAGTGATATTAAAACAGTGATTAAATCCAAAATCTAGTGTAAGTGGCAAAGGGAATTGGATAGCTCCCAATTAAAATTAAAAGATATTAAACCGTCTATTAAAACGTGGAGGAAACAAAACACAAGCTGGGCCAACCAGGTTAGAATTGATCGATTACGTAGGTCATTAACGTATAACTGTGTGCTGTGAGCACACAGTTACTTTACTCTTGGAGACTAACACAAAAACTACAGGAAACACACAGATCAACGACGGATGAATACGAACATATAAAAAACTACATGAAAGACGCAGCGCTAGAAGGCCACAGGTACGGAGAGTAGATAAACCATATTGGTGGGATAAAGAAGTGCAAGAAAAGATAAAAAGAAAAAAGGAAGTATATCAAAAGTTATTACAATAGGGAGACGAACAAACAAAACAACAACATAAAAACTTGAATAAAGAAGTCAAACGAGAAGTGGTTAAAAAGAAAAATATGCATGGGAACAAAAGTGCCAATACCTAGACAACCATATAGGAGAGACAAAGAGCTCTGAGCCTGGAGAACTATACAAATGATGAGAACAACGACAAAAAACCAAGTCATAATAAATAGAATACCAGGGAACACATGGAAAGAGCATTTTAAGAACTTATTAACAGAGAGAAGAGAAAGGTTTATACAAACAAATGTACAAGTGAAAGTAGAAGGAAGAATAGAAATATCAATGGAACAAGTGAAAGAAGCAGTTAAGGGAATGCAATTAAGAAAATCTTCAAGCCATTAAGAAAATCTCCAATTTTTATTTGCATAAAAATTTGGAATTAAGCTCAACTCACCCTCTGCTTTATAGCTAATGTCATGCCGATGAACCCTGATTGTTCTTAGGGGTGAAAACTACCCCTAATTTTTAAAAACTGTAAAATAACATTACAAATCTTAAGATGAGTGAAATTTGGTTTGGATTAAAATCTTAAGATGAGTGGAATTTCGTTTGGATTAGTTAAATAGTGATTTTTTTATACTTTAAAATACAATTTCATACATTTTCAACCCTTAAAAATCAATTGTTATGAGTGCTATAGGTAACAACAGTTTTTTGTCAAAATTTTGCAACTTTTCAACTTTTGAAAATCACCCTTTACAACATTGCAGTTTTTATAAACTAAATTACTAGATATAAATTGAAAAAAGTAGAATTAAATACAAAAAAATTTATCAACATAAAAAGGCACCATATATTCTTATACATTTACATAAATAGTTGAAAATATTTACATTTATAGGTAAAACAATTATAATATTAATTTTATTCGTCATCAATTACATCTTTATCGTGATCTATGTCATCCTCATCTTCTTCAATTATTGGTGGACTATTATTGCATCCTTCACCTGAGCACCCAGAACAAGTAGAGTTACAGTATAAACCAACTTTTCTGCACCCACATGAAACGCCGCATCCTTTTTCGCATTGGCAAAAAATAATTTTCAAAAGTTCATCGGGTGCAGGTTGTTTGTGCATGCGTACGGGTAATAACAAACCATCTTTGGAATACCATCCCCAATCTGTTGCTCTGATATTTTCATTGCCAAGCCATAGATATATGAGCAGATGTTTTATTCTGTTGTATGGGATTTCAAAACAAGAATGCTTAAAATTTCGAATGTATAACGCCCCACTACCTAATATACCGGTTTTGTAGATTATTATGCTCCGAAATGTACTGTACTATACTAATGGAATTTTCCGGAAAAAAATTAATTGGTTTTTTTAACGTATTTCCTTCATTTTTAACGATAGAGTGTTTCTTCAAAAACGATTTTATAGAGGTTTTTAAAAGCTACAAGGATCTGTGAATTAAATCTTTTTGTCCCTTGGTTTTTAAATGGGGTGAGTTTAAAGGGCTCGAAAAAGATGGTGCTTGATCGTAAATCGATGCTTAAACGGCTATATCTCGCCAAATATTCATTGTACAACAAATTTAAATAAATGAAAATTTTAGTCATTAAAAAAGCTACAATTCAGTATATTTTTATTTTTTTCATATATTCAGTATTTTCGGGGATATTTAAAAAAAGAAGGTTAAAAAATATTAAATTGTAAATCGTTTCTCGCTTTATGCTGTACTTTTTTTAAAACTAAGCATTTTAAATGGGTCAAACTTCTAGGACGTATTAACAATATATGTACAAAGAGAATTGCAGAAGGGTGAAGATCGATTTTAATTATGGTGGTGGTTAGGGGTTGTTTTCATCGATTTTTTTGTAAAAAATGAGGTATTGACCTTATTTTAATCATAACTCACTCAATTTTGAGCTAGAGTCTTTTTTTTTATGATAGGTCTATTTATGCTCTTTAAAAAAGGTTATGTGAGTTTTCTTCCAAAAATGCATCATTTTCCCAATATTTGACTTTGAATCTTTCAAATTTGGCATTTGAAGAAAACCGCTGAACATTGATAGGCCGTATTTCGGTTCTTGTTATATCGCAAAAACATTTTAAAAATGAATTGTATTTGTGTTTTTAAAAGCTACAAATTTGTTCTCTACAATTTTTTTGATTAAAATGCACCATTTTCGAGTTATTCGCGAAAAGTCGATTAAAAACGTCGATTTTTTCGTCTAAAAGTTGTTACTTTCAATCGCGAATAACTTGAAAAATATCAGTTTTACAAAAAAAAATGTATAGAACATTTTTTGTTTAGAATCACTTTTTTAATCGAAACCTGTAGTTTCAAAATCACCCCCAAGGCTTTGGCGCACTTTGGTTCGATATAGATTTTGATCCTTGGCTATTACCTACCTTCTGTTAAAATTTCAAGGACGAAAAAATTGCGAGGTGAAATGCTTCATTTCCTGGATTATAAGTGGTTTGACTCTAAATGGAAAACATTTGTTAAACTGTACAAAATGTATTCAAGAAAACTGTAACATAAATAATATTGTAAATTTCCTTAAAGAAACTAAACTTTTTCATCTATTGTAAATTAATTAAGTATTGTAGCTCAATGTAACATGTCTCTAATAACCTTTAGTAGTTGATGCCACTGATATTAAAAAAAAATATGTATATATAAAGACAAAATATTTTGTATTAATGTCTTTGTGCATAGTTGATTTTACTAATATTGAGTATTAGCAGCTAAAAAAATAACTTTATTATTTTGAGATTAACAGGGATTACTGATATCTTTATTTTGTTACTGTGTAAAACAATATCTACATGCAATTGTCGTAATGTTCATTTTTTGTTATGAATACAGACTCTTTATCAGGGCTATTACATAAGCACGTATAACAAAAACTAAACAACTTTTACGAAATTTATAATCCTCTGTAGATTAAATTCTTATTTAATAAGCTAGGGTTAGAAGATAACGTGACCTTAGAAATCAACTTTAACGTTAAAAATAAGGTTGTCCTTGACGTGCTGAGTTGGATACTACATTTTTAACATTCACTAATTTTTAGTTTACATTTTGTTAGCACAATGTGCCGATCTTGATCGTATAAGTTGTTATTTAAATACCAAAAAATCGAATGGTCATTAAATCAAATTAACCAGTTTATATGCAATCCACTTATCTGTTACTAAAAATTCTTTTTGCCTTAATTTAGTATGTGTATATCGTCCATCTGTTACACTTCTTGCACATGATAATGTTTTCTTTACAAAACTTGAAAAACTATCTTCTCTTGATAATCTTATCATTACTGAAGATTCTAATTTCCCAAAGATCATCTGGCGAATAACTTCATTATCTGAGGCCGAAAATGCTCATAATTTATTTAAAAGCTTTGTAGTAAATTCGAACCTGATACAACTCGTCACAGAACCTACTAGATTTAAAATTATTAAGCAACCTTCTACTTTAGATCTAGTGCTTATTAACGATGAACACTGATTTTATCTTTAGAAGTCAGTTCATGAGCTAATAGAAAGGCAGGAAAGAACGTTTCGTCCAATTGCCATCTTCACAGATAGTCAGGCAGCGCTCAAGGCACTTAATTCTGTAGATGTCAATGTCAATTGTGTGTGGGCCCTAAATTAACTAGAAGACCGTAGCAAGGTTACGGTAGCCTGGGTACCGGGGCACGAGGGTCATAAGGGCAATGAAAAAGCAGCATGAAATAGCCAAACAAGGCTCATCACCCAACAACATCGGAAATTTAAACATACCGGGCTTCTCAATAATTTTCAAAGCCACCGCAGATTTTCAAATAACTTACGTCTTACTTACATCTCTAAAAACTCTAAGACAACATTTTAAAGCAGATTTTATTGAAAGTAAAAAAACTTTACAATTTTACGAGACCAGGAGCTTTTTCAATCTCCCATGTTAATTATTTTCAATGT